ACATTTAACAACAATAACAGTGTTCATTGTGTCAGCACTAAGCTTCATGCTTCACAGAGATTATACCATTTAACCTCTGTTGTTAATTTGTTAAGTGCTGTTAAGTTGTTTCCAACTCAAAACGACCCTCTCTAGGGTTTATGAGGAGCAGATGGTATATCTGAACCACTGACCCTGCAATTTAAACCAACCTGGCAGTCTAGTGCATTATCCTGCAGTACCACACCAGAACTCCTATGTAGACACTATTATCCCTGTTTTATCAAAAAGTGAAAACCCCATGCTTTAACCACTAGGTTATATACAATCTTACACACTAAAAAATACATCTTTCAAGTTGGAGTGAAAAAACAAATAAAAAAAGTCAGGTGCAACAGAAAATGTCAGTTGGTCTAACGAAGTTAAAATTCTACATTTAACAGTAAAGCTATAATTATACATGGCTTTATCCTTTGACTTTTTTTGTTAAGTGGGATATTTTTAAAACAAAGAATTTGTTAGCAGCCATCTAAGGTGCAACTATTGGTTTCTCCATGTGCATAAGAAAGAAGAGTAATGAGAATTCAAGATGTTTGGAATCAATTTGTTCAATGGACTAATGAAACACAGGAACACCAGTCTCCATGACTCTGAGACCAGAAGAACTAGATGGTGCCTGGCTGCCACTACCAACCACTCTGAAAGGGATCACATTAGAAGGTCCCAGATAAGAGTGGCAGAATATGCAGAAGTCAAAATTATTAAAACAAAACAAAAACAATCTCCCCCCCCCCCCCCCCCCCACAGCAACAACAACAATAATCTAGGCTTATTGGTCAGAAAGAGACTGGAGGAACCTCAGACTATGGCTTTTGACCACCCATCAAGTCTGGAAAGGAACTCATTCTTGTGACCCATTTTTCAGCCAAACAGAAGATAAATTTATGAGGTAAGGTATGCTCACTATGGAATGGTCATCATTCAAAATCAAAAGGACAACGTTTATCTAAGGACAAAGTTAAGATGGGATGGGAAGGTGGTGGAATGGAAATGGGAAGAACAGGAAGTGGGTAACTGTTGCTGCATAGAGGGGAATGCAATCACTGAGATGAAACAAAGTATATGATTTGTTGAATGTAAAGCTGATGATCTTGTCTGTAAACCTTCACTCAATTCACAATAAAAAATTAAAAACAAACAGAATTAAATGGGAATACAAAGACTTCTTCCATTACAATGTATGTGGGAAAAGAAAGAAATGAACCATAATAAATTTCATGTTGCGTTAATATTACCTTATAAATTTTGCTCCAATTCTGTTACTTCAAAAACGAATTCATCCTGAAACTAAATCACCTAGTTTGAAACCCTACATCCAAATTATCAGACTCACTAAATAGATATTTTTCCTGTTAACCAATGGTCATACCTAAATATTATCTTAAAACAAAAACAAAAACAAAAAAACAGTATGATTCCTCATTCAAAACTCCATTTTTATCTTTTCTGACTCTGAGAAGTGCAATAAAATGAATGGGGAATCAGTGAGCCTGTCTCTCTGCAACCAGATTAATGCTAAACTATCTTTTCCATTATATGAGAGTCTTGACTTCCTATCTCTACTTTGTCAACAAAGCTTTATGTAGTGATGCCACTGGCTAGAGTATTATGCTTTTTTGTTTTGAGGAAGTCAAACAGGATTGAAACTAACTTCTCAAATAGCTGACCCATGTGATATATTGTTCTGAACAATATGATTATTAAAAAAAAAAATGAACATGGCAGTACATGATGGCTTAGATATAAGAATAAAATGATAAGCCGCTAGAGTTAATAGAGGAAACACAAAATAGGAAGGTTGGATATTTCATAAAGAAGGTGAAGAATAGTTTGGATCTATTTGGCAAGTTTCTTTGAGGTTAGAAGTGGAAAACTAACACCTGAAAACAAAACAGAGAGCAATTAGGGAAATAGGAGAAAGAAGGGTGGCTAGGGAATTATCTAAATTCATCAAAGTCTCAGTTTTTGAAAGCCAGCCTCTAAGAAAAACATGTTCCAAGGGGCGGGGGTGGGGTGGAGGGAAGTCTCATAGTACTAGAGAGATCAAAGGTTCATTAGCTATGCTGTCTGGTTGACTTCTTTCAAAAATATACCATGTTTTGGGCACTATGGGGTGCATGTTTTCTCTGTAAGATTAAGCATTAGATTGCAAACCACAAGGTTGGCAGTTTGAGCCCACCACTGCTCTGCAAGAGAAAGATGAGACTTTCCACTCTGGCAAAGATTTACAGCCTCAGACACACTATACAGCATCACTATGAGTCAGAAATAACTAGACAGAACCTAACAAGAACTCAGGCACTATAACTCAGATTATCACAAGATAAAATTCACCCATAGTCTTGGGCAGATATTCCCCAATTCAGAAATGAGTTTTTTAAAAACTCATCAAATTAATTATCACCTACTTTAAATCATCAGACACATTAATTTTAGGCCTGTAAATTTCAAAGGAAGCTAGATATGAACTGCATTGCTTTGAACACTTTTACATAACATGAGCAATCTCTCTAGTCATCACCTTTCAGAGTCTGGTCTCAACTCAGTTGTCAGTATTTTGATGTTCACAATTAAAGGCAAGAATATGAGAGGATGTAATGACTGTAAGTATGTCACTCAAGAGTATATTATGAACTTTAGATCTGTTATTTTCATCTTTCACTTCCTGAATACATCACAGCTCTGCCACATATACTGACAGTTCAAACTTTACTCCCAAACTGAGTTTTCATGATTGCTTTTGTCCAAGTAAATGGACTGTTTAAGATACTTAGATTCTCCATGACTACTGTCATGGGGACTTGAGCTCTAATGGCAGGGAAGGGCTGCACTGAACTCTATTCATCTCCAATGGCCTCAAAACAAACACAATCTGAGGTGGTCTTTGTGGCTAACAGTGCCATCAGGCATTACTGATATCATTTAACCCAGTTCAAAGTGAAATGATTACCTGATTCTTTCTTTCCCTCAGTAATCACATTTTAAGTCTAACCTAATGAACTCTGAGACTGATCAGTGTTTATCTATCGTTCATGGTCTTTTATATTCTTCTGGAAGTATAACTACTCCACAAACTATGACTAGATTTTCTTCCCTAGTTCGGCATGAGGTTGCTCTGTCCCCTTTTTGTGGCAGAATCTGGAGAGTGGCATTCTTCTTCCATAAAGGATATTCATTGAAGGAAATTCCCCTGTACAAATACCCAGTTTTTACCTACTGAATCCAAAGTGGCTTCTAGCAGCCCTTCCTCACAAAGCCAAGATTCTCTTCTTTACAGATTATTCTGCATATACACAATTAAAGAACCTTTAAAACTATTTTCAGGGTCTCAAAAAACACAGCAGAGATCGTAAAACTGTTGCTTAATGAAGTCTACATTTACTATTTAAATATTAATGCTGTTATTGTTAAGTTCTATTAAGTCAGTTTTGATTCATAGTGACCCTGTATAAGGTTTCTGAGGAATGGCTGGTGGGTTTGAACTGTCAATTTAATCATCAATTCTTATTTATACATTATTAAAATGTGTAACTATATTTGTAACTATATTATTCAGAACATATTTGAGACCATAAGGAAACATAAGATTCCTGATACTGAGCGTTACAGGTGGTGGTGGTTATGTGCCAGCGTTACAGGAGTACATTTTAAAACGTGAGTCTGCCCCAAATGAACCACTGTTATAAACTAATAATGGACAAATCAGACCATTTTATCACATTTTCGAAAGATAGTGACTCCAAGTAAAATAATTTATGACTAAATGGGTTTCTTCTTGAATAATAATGAAAGTGTGGCTTTTAAAAAAGAGAGAGAGAATGTGAAGGAAAGTAAAATAATAACCAAAGCTAAAAGCATGTTCTATCCAGCAATTTCCCATAAAAATAAAAGGAACATCTGAGTCTCATACACTGAAACACAAAAGGGCAAAAGGGAAGGCTTTTGACACTATTTGTAAAGTGGGTTCTGCCTTCAGTAGCTCAGTAATATTAAGCAGTGGACAGCTTTAGATCTTTCAAAGAAGTAACAGTTCCTTTCCCCTACAAGTAGAAAACACCCAAGATCTGAGATACATAGTGCTAATATTTGATCTTCCAGATTCATTAATTAAAGCTTTGGTTAATTCCTAGTTCTTCTCTTCATTAGCTCTCTGAGCTGAGAAAAGGAATCCCAGCTATCTGGCCATTAATTTTGAGAGAGAGGCTCTTTTGGCTCTAAAGACCTGTAGCTCTGTGACCTCTCACCAGTGAGAAGATTCACTTTCAGAAAGCTTGAGATTTATTTAAAGATATACATATAGGATAATGACTTCCAAAACACTATATTGAGTCTTTTGAAATAACTGAGAACACTCATTGATCAGAAATTTTCTCTTGTATCCAGAAGTTTTCTTTGCCTTTTCATGTAGAGAGAGCATTTCTTTGTTAAGGTCAATCCTTTTCCTAATTACCAGCTTTTAATTAGACCACAGCTCTTTTAAACATATAGATTATAAGAGATTAAACACTGAAAAAGATTATATGCATTTTTAAATGTGGTACTGTTTAGCAGGCACACTTTTTATTTAACTGCTGTTAAGAAGTGGAAATTTTACTTTTTCAATGTTAGGTTTCTGCAATTCTCCACACCAGAAACAAAGATGAGAGGAATTTTGTAAAACTAGGGCATTCTGAAATTTTGTAAAACTAGGGCATACTATTCTGAAAAAAATGGAGAGGCTTATTTTCAACATGTGTGTCTAAAGGAGTAAGACTTTCTTTACATGTATTTCTATCTAAAATAAACAAGGGGAAGTCACCTCAGCAAGCATTTGATACATAGCTCATGAAACAAACATGAACTATACAAGATCAAGAGTTAACTGAGCGTAGACAAGTTATTTTCATCTTTGGCTGCATATTATAATCTTGGGGAGTTTTGAAAATCTTCTTGTCAAAGTCTCTACCTAGACTAATTAAATCAGAATCACTAGGAGCAAGCAGATCCCAGACATCTGTGTGTGTGTTTATTTTCCCAAATGATTTCGATGTATAGGCAAGGTTGAAAAACTTTGGCTCAGGTACAAGACTGGTAGTACATATATAACTCAGAATTAGAACTCCTAATAAAGGATTTCAGCGCCTTCAAAGTTTTGATTGAGTACTCTACGAAAGCTTCCTCAGAAAAGCAGGCCTAGGACAGAGCCCTGAATAACAGATAGAATTAGGAAAACATTCAGTGAATACTTGTGTATGGGTATATATGTGGGTATAAGGAGTGTGTTACAAATATGGAAACAATACACCCTAATACTCAGGTACTTCAAAGGAGGTGGCACAATTGTAAAAAAGAATTGACTGAACTGACCCCTACTAGACACATCCAGCTTCACTAAGCAACCTATCTGAAATGCCATGGAAAGCAGGCATGAGGCTACTTAGTATCTTTCCATGGTGGCTTAGTCTATGACTTCCCTATGTCTCATGAATTTCTCATTTGAATTATCAGTACTTAATAATAACAGCTGCACTCCTGGTGTGGCACTGTAGGATCAGCACTGGACTGTGAACCACAAGGTTGACATTCAAACCCTAGACAGTGTTGCTATGAGTTGGAATCGACCTGACAGTACATAACAACAACAGCAATAATAACTAGAGAGAACGTTTGCTGAGGGTTTTCCTTTTTGCCAAACATGATGCGAACTGATGTGCTTACTGACATAAGAACTTCTGAGTCAGGTCCTATTATTGACCTCTGGTTTTCAGATCAGAAAGTCGAGACTTATAGAGCCATATTCAGAGTTCACTGGTAGGAGTACAGCAGAAACAGTGACCCTAAATCACCTGATACCATTCCTTTATGTCACATCACCCTTCTACAGCTAAAGTCATGTATTGTGGTGACACAGCTGTGTGTCATCAAGCTGGATCCGACTCACTGAAACCCATATAGGGTTTTGGAGGCTGTAAATCTTTACGGAAGCAGAGAGCCTCATCTTTTGCCCATGGAACGGCTGGTAGGTTTGAACTGCTGATCTTGCAATTAACAGCCCAACTCATAACCCACTATGCTACCAGGGATCCTTAAAGACATGTATGTTGTTGTTGTTAACTGCCATTGAGTTGATGGTGACTCAAGCCACCCTGTATAGGGTTTCTGAGGCTTTAAATCTTAGTGATAGCAGAAAGCCTCATCTTTCTCCCGAGGAGTGGCTGGTGGGATTGAACAATTGACCATGCAGTTCACAGTCTAGTGCTTATCATAGGGAGCCATTGTGTTCCTCAAACATATGTATATACAAAGAGTAAATTAAAAAAAAACAAAAAACACATTGCTACTATTCCAGTTCATAGATGCACATGTTTAAACACATCTCTGAAATCAGTGGATGGCTTCAGACAAGTTCTTTCAGTAATACACTTGTCTTAGTCTCACATGGGTAACTTAAAAAGAAAGGTGCACTCTAAATAACAGCTTCTGAGGGGATCCACTGGGCCAGATAAATTCAAAGTAGAAAGGTCAACTCAGAAGGTTATGGTGACTGTTTTAAGGATTCCAAAATTATAATCTTGATAGATTTTCGCCAAGGATACAGAATGATCAGAGAGGCTTATTAGGAAGAAAAGGCCATGAGTGGTACAATGTGGAATTTTTTCCATCATGACAATGTACCTGCTTATTCTTCAAGAGTAGCAGGAATTCACTATGAGAATTTCATTGGGAAATTTCACCTCATCCACCCTACAGTCCTGATACTATCCCTTCAGATTTCTTTTTGTTCTCAAAACTCAAAGAACATTTAAAAAGGAACATGATTTAAATTCCTTGAGGATGCCAAAACATCTGTGTTGACCTGGTATAAATAGAAGACCACAGACTTCTTTGGGAAAGGGTTAGAGAGAAATAAACGCTGCATTCAGAAGTACACAGACTTCGATGGAACTACATATTTTTACATTTTTTTAAACAGAGATTTCTATGATTTTATAGCCACACTTGTTAACTCACCCTCATATGTGTGCATGCATGCATGCATGTATAAATGTATGTGTGCGTATTTAAGCATATTTGGGTGTATCAAGAGTGAGGCAGGTATGAAATAAAAAAGGAAAATACTGCAGATACATGTGGGATTTCCATGAGCTATAATGACTTTTCTAGAAAGAGAAATGCTGACAACAAAATGACTAAGGAATCAGATATGGAGAAGTGTGACATCATACTGATACTCACAATTTGCAATAGGATCATATACTCCTAAATCCCTAAGATTCTTGTCCCTCCAGTTTTCTAGTCAGAGGTTTTGAGAGAAGAAGAGGAGTGTGGGAAGTAGGTGACCCAGAGTCACCCATTTAGCATCCAAAAAGAAGCATGGCTCTCCTCTTCCCTTTCATGTCTGGTTTGTATGTCATGTCTTGGATATAACCAGAGCCCATCTTCTAGAGAAAGTTGGGGCAAAAGGAGAAGGAATTTTGTGTACATAGGGAGGGGAAAAGAAATGGGAGTATTTGAAACTTTTTAAAATCCAAGATTTGAGGGATACAACATGTTAACTGCCAGGAAAAAAAAAGAGTCACTTCTTTGCATGTTCACATCATTTCCTAACATGTATCTCAACTGACTTAGCATTTCAATAGTATGGGACTAAATTATAGTTTTGCTTGGAAATTTTGAATTTCTTTGCTATCTTAGGAATCTTTACAAAAATTCCTACTTCTTCATCCAGAGGAGTATCTTATATTTGTACATTTTATTCCTTTCCATTCACAGCTCAATCCCACAGTGACATGGCTAATTTAGTTTATTTTGGTGTAGAAATGGGCTAAAAGATCTTATGAATATTTAAGGCAAAACTTTTATTCTCAGGAAGAATAAGATTGTAGATACTTGATTATATCTGCTGCTGTTATTAAGCGCTATAGAGTTGGTTCCGACTCATAGCGACCCTGTATAGAGTTTCCAAGGAGCAGCTGGTGTGTCTGAACTGCCGACCTTGTGGTTTGCAGGCTAAAGATAGGATGAAAACTTACAAATTTTTGTACACATTATAGACACTCCCATCTGTAAAAGTTATACATTAAATAAAAACCAACATGAGAACCGATGTCCAGAAATATTTAAAATGAAAAAAAGAAGCAAGGGACTTGAGGAAAGAACATTATTGGGCAAAGAACCTAAGAATTCTTTACCAACCATAAACTGCTATGGGAATATCAGATATTCTCTAATAACAAGGTAAGAACTTCGTTCACGAGTGGCCAAAGTTAAGGCCAAAGAAATTAAATAAATAAACAAAGTGGGGTTTTGTTGCTGTTATTGTTGTTTTACCTGATTGCCAAAAAGGTTGAATCCATTAATTGCTTCTAGAGCTGCTTTTGCTAAGCCAACAGAGCTAAAGGAGAAATAGAAATATGTAGTTACTGTGATGTATCTGACTACAAAATAAGAACCATTATCTGATGAACAGTCACAAATAAATTTATTAACACAACAACTTCTGTAAAGTGAATAACGTCTAAGAGACTTCCTAGTGACTTCTACTGTTTAAAATTTTTCTTTTTCATAGTCAATAAACCTCTGGGTAGAATATTTCTAGGATCATCTTGCTCGGGACTAAGTGTCATATACTTAATGGGAGTTGTTTCAATTCCATTATCATTTATATTCACTAAGTAAAGAGAAAAAACAAAAGGTGAACTTTACAGAAAGGTATAGGATGATGATATGTGCACAGTGATTACCGGGTCAGGCATCATTACTTCAGATTTTATGTCAATTCTGAATCTTTAGAAAAAAAAAAGATCTTGTATATCAGACACTTGCTATGGAGCATGAATTAATATGCTTTCCAAATGATCTGTGCCTGGGGTCTAATAAAACATGCATTCTTTTACACTTGCAGAATGACTGATCATCATACTCCTCATTTGTGGCTGTATACTTCTCCTTGTCAGAAAATGTGTACTGGTGTGGGGCTGTGGGTTAACGTACTGAACTGCAGCTGTTTGAACAACAAGGTTGGTAGTTCAAGCTCACCAACCGCTCCTTGGAAACCCTATACAGGGTCGTTATAAATCGGAACCAACTTGACAGCAAAAATAACAACATTTTTCTACCAGTTCTACTCGTTCACACTTCCAAATTCCACATGCAATGTGTAGTTAGAAGCTCACTGCTGATCCTACAGAACCACGCCAGGAGTCTTTCACACACAATGGTGGTGTTAAGTACTGACTACAGGAAGATAAAAAAAAAAATTTTTTTTGATAAAGGAAACAAGGGTAAATTGCTACAATTTAATGAAGTTGACCTATACTTATGGATGTCGTTGCTCAAAATATCAACTGACAGAGGAGGAGTCTTCACATCAAGTATCAATGCATACTGGGTTGAGAGGGACAGACAACTTAGACATTCGCTACCTAAAATGGGGAGGGGAGAGGGCTATAAAGGCACAAAGTGGCTGACTTACAAGTTTTCAAGAGGGAGTTTAGTTTCAGAGTGTGCGGGGAATGTAGAATCCCCACTGAATAGTTTTCATCTTGTCTAGATGGGTCTGGTGAAAAGTGGTGGGGATAAGATTCTTATGATTCAATAGTGAGTAACTGTTATCATGACTAATTGTGACTGTCACAACTGTAAAGGTAGAAGTTTTGTAACAAAAGCAGGGGTGCAGTTAATCTTATAGTGCGGGAACAGAGGACCCTAGGAACATCAAGGGAGAAGAGCACAAGCAGAATGAGGGACCCTATCCAGAGAAGCAGTGACACTAGAAATGGTGGAAAAGATGAGGACATGGAGAGATAGAGCAGCTGAAGACTCTAGACTCATGGAAAGAGAAAAGCTGTGTGCTGAAGGCTAGGAGGCAGGCTTGCAGAATGTGCCCTTTGGTTGTTAAATGACTATATATACCTGAGTGTTTTTGTGTACATCCAAAACAACAACAATAGAGGGAACAGAAGCAAATACTATTGAATGATTGAATGATGATGCAGCATGGAGGAGATCATAATCATTACAATGGAATAAGGAGTGTAAACTGATGTTCTCCCATGTAACTATCACTCAATTCACAGTAAACTCTTAAAACACACACACACAAAGCATTCAAAATATGACCTTGGATTATATCCCACCTGATTAGAGACCATGTCATGAACAGATCTGATGCATTAGACACTAATGACCAAAGACCAGAGAAATTGTGTGATGACATAAAGAACAACATACATGAATAAAGCAAAAGGTCACTAAAAAGACAGGAAAGAAAGGAAAAACCAAAGTGGATGTCAGAAGACACTCTTAAAACTTGCTCTTAAGTGTTGAGTACTTAAAGCAAATGGAAGAAATGAAGAAGTAAAGAGCTAAACAGAAATTTCAAAAGGGCAGCTTGAGAAGACAAAGTCAATCATTATAGATGACATGTGCAAAGACCTGGAGTTATAAAACCAAAATCAAAGAACCTGCTTAGCATTTCTCAAGCTGAAAGAACTGAATAAAAAATTCAAGCCTCAATGTACAATACTGAAGGGTTCTATGGGCAAAATGTTGAATGATACAAGAAGCATCAAAATAAGAAGGAAGTAATATACATAGAGTTACTGTACCAAAAAGAATTTGTTGGCATTCAACCGTTTCAGGAGACAGTATATGATCAAGAACTGATGGTATTGAAGGAAGAAGTCCAAGCTGCACTGAAGGCATTAGCAAAAATCAAGGGTTCAGAAATTTAGGGAATACCAACTGAAATGTTTCAACAAACTGATGCAGCCTGAAAGCACTCACTTGTCTATGTCAAGAAATTTGGATTACAGCTACTTGACCAAGCAACTGAGAAAGATCCATATATGTGTCTATTCCAAAGGTGTTCCAAAAGAATGGGGAAAATATCAAAATAAGCACAGGAAAGTAAATAGACCATATTTGGTAACCACATAGTTGTGGAGGATGATAGAAAAGGAAAATTGTAGAAGTTTAAAGTTTGGATAGCTACATGACTGTTGGTGCTATCAACTCGTAAAGAAAGAACGAAAGCAGATATTCATTTTGTTTGGTGGTATTGTTGTTAAGTGCCATTGGGTCGGTTCTGACTCATAGCAACCCTGTATAGGGTTTCCTAGAAGCAGCTGGTGGGTTTGAATGACCAACCTAGCAGTTAGAAGTCTAGTTTTTATCCAATGCATTATTAGTAGTTCAATTTTGGACATACTGAGAGCCCAGAGGGGTATCCCAGGCCAGATGTCTACAGGCAGGTAGAACTTTACTGTTCAGGGCTTAGTCACTACCCATAGGTGGCCATTTAATTTAATTAACACTAAATGACATAAAAAAAAAAAAAAGAATATGTTAAGATCTATCTTTAACTATAATGCTGTCTATGATAGGATAATATCCATATGCCTACAAAGAAGACCAGTTAACACCACTATTATTCAAATTTACAAACCAACTATTAAAGCCTATGATGATGAAATTGAAGAATTCTATCAAATTCCTCAGTATGAATTGATCAAACATACAATCAAGATGTATTGATAACTGCTGGTGATTGGAATGCAAAGGTTGGAAACAAAGAATAAGCATCAGGAGTATGGCCTTGGTGATAGAAGTGATGCTGGAAGTTGCAGGATACAATTTTGTAAAACCAATGACATACTCATTGCAAACACCTTTTTTAAACAACACAAAAGACAACAATGCACATGGACCTCACCAGATGGAATAAACAGAAATAAAATAGAGTACATATGTGGGAAGAGGTAGTGGAAAAGTTCCTATCATCAACCCAAACAAGGCTATGGACTGTCAGAAAAACAAATCTGCATTGGAAAAAATGCAACCAGAATACTCCCTGTAAGATAAGATGGCAAGATTTTGTCTCTCATACTTCAGACACATTATTAGGAGGGACCAGTCCCTGGAGAAGGACATCATGCTGAGTAAAGCGGAGGGTCAGCAAACTATAGGAAGACCCCCAATGAGATGAATTGGCAAGTGGCAGTAGTGATGAGTTCAAGTGCAGCCACAATTGTGAGAATGGTGCAGGACTGGGCAGTGTTTTGTTCTGTTGTACATAGATTGATATGAATCAGCACCTAACAACAATAAACAGAAAAAAATCTAACACTAACACTAGTCCTAAACATAACATTAAACAAAATCCTGTTGCTGTTGTTTAAGTGCTGTCAAGCTAGTTCCAACTTATAGCGATGTTGTATAGGGTTTCTAAGGAGCATCTGGTGGGTTTGAACTGCTGACCTTTTGGTTATCAGTCCAATGCTTATCCTATAGTGCCACACAAACCCCTTAATCCTGTTGCTATTGTTGTTGTTAAGAGCTGTCAAGTCAGTTTCAACTCATAGTGACCCTATATAGGATATCTGAGGAACTGCTGACCTTGTGGTATGTAGTCTAGTGCTGGTCCTATAGCATCACACCAGGAGTCCTTACTCTTACCCCCCAGATGGTAAATATATAAATAAATGACAGCTGAAACAAAATGGAATATAATATTTTTTAATTTATTGAAGTTCACAAATACATTAATTTATTATTTATTCATTATTTTAACCTTTAGAATCAGCAAACTAGAAACTCCTTATATTATCTTACATTTTAGTAACAAATAGAGTACATAGTAAAAATTTAAAATACCTTAACGACACCAGAAACTCTCAAAATTATTTTGGCCTGTTCATATTTTTAAGAAGTCTAAAATAAAATGAGATCTGCTTGGATATAGTTTGTATTAGAATGATTTGTTGCACAAATGAAAGCATTCCTAGAAAAAAATGACAGGTTTAAACTAAGTCATTTATATCCTCCATGAAATTCACAAAACTAACTGGCAGGCATGAATTTAGCCATAACTAAATTCACAATCCATTGATCATTAACAGTAAAGTTTAATTCCATGAGTTATACATTCTGAAAGACCAAGGACTTTACAGTACTATGCTTTTAATGGATACTCATTTTTCAGTATGGCATAAAAATACATAACATGAAGTATATAAAATGAAGAATGCAATGGACAGTAGCTTGTATCATACATAGTTCAATGACTGGAACATCAAAAATGACTAAAGTAGACTACTTACATTACATAAATAAGTAATATACAGAACAAATTATCACTACAAGTATCTTAAACTGAGTAAAGCTGTGCTGTAATGATTAATTATCAGGTCTTTTAGTGATGACTTTCTTTGCTGTAAAGGTCAAGAGGACAGAACACAAAATTGCAAAATACCACCAATAACATAAAAAACTGAAAAATCAAACTTCCATTCTCTTTGCTTCTTCAGTATTTTGTATATCACAAAACACAAAATTTATCAAAATAAAAAAGGAAATTATTTTGTTAAATGTAAATGTTTGCTTAAATGCTTA